AAGATCTAGTGGTTGTCGTCTATCCTATGGTTTTATGATGTTAGTGTTTTCATGTTTAGGTTTAGTCATTTGCTATGTGTTGATGATGATGATGATTCTTGCAAATGATGTGTTAGGCACATTTACAGAGTTGGATGAAGAACCATTTAAAAAAAATATTTTCCTAAAATTTATTTAGATGGAACAGACTCTTGTTTAATTGTTATTTTGTTGTGCTGGCATTTTCACTTTGAACTATAAATTTTGCAACTACAACCTGCTTTTTTGCCAATTGCGATTAATTGTTCACGGTATTTGTTCTTAAGTGCATATCTGGAATCAAAAGCCACGAACCAGTCAAATTTTCTTATTTGCAAGGAAGGTATGGTAGACCCAAATAGTTCCCTTTTGAACATTTAATGAGATAAAAGTGTCGTAGAAACAAGCAGTCATGTGAAACCATCATATATTCCCTACCTATACCGGGAATAAACCAGCCATATCTGCCTAACTTAGTCCTTGTTGTGTGTCCAGCAACTGGTTGCCTGAAGCTATTTCCCAGCTTCGTTGACCTATAGAAAGATAAACCTAGGTGGATTCAAGGTATGAAACCCACTTTTCTTATTGTGAGACTTTGAGAACAGAGCCGTCGCTCTGTTGGTAAGCTATGAGGGTGCACGTTTGAGTCATAGACTCCACGGGGTCTCAGGTTTTTTCTTCTATAAAAAAATGCCACCAAGGGCTCATGTTAGTTCTCTTTTTTCTATATTCTGAGACCTTGAATATAACTTCCTGTAATTTTGTTATCATTCTTCATTTCAAGAATCACAGATTGTAAAGTTGATTAGTAAAAAGAATTTATCTTCAACAAATTTGTTATCATCCTCTGTTATGCATTGTTGAATCAAGTGGTCAAAATAAGAAATCAGATGGTCATTTCATTTATTTAGCTGCAAGCATGCAACAGACTCTTGGTTATTTTTTACCTGTCTTAGCATCTTTGATGGACATGAAAACACTTGATCTTAGATGTGGCACCAATATACTTTAGGTCCATGTTATAACTGTCAAGAATATGATACAACGTTGGGTTTTATCTCTGGGTTTCCAGAGTTGGATCAAGAAATGTCATACTGGAAGCTACTTGGTTGCTATTGTCTAGTAGATGATAATTGATTTATAGTCCTGTGATGACCAGGGGTGTTCCTCCCCTAACATAGCTACTGTGTTCAATTTTGGTGTGGTCACTATTATGATTGCTTAAGCTATCTCTAGTGCTCTGCCTAAGTGTTAAGAGTGTAAAGTTTCATCATGTTTCCTTTTACAGGAATTTTAGCTTATTCATTGAGGTTGCCATATCTTCTACAACCTCGGCGATGGCGGCCACCTCTTCTTGGTTCAGGCGAGCCCTTGATGTCCTCTCTCCTGCTCTAAGATGAGGTTCGGCCATCAAGTCATTGATTTAGTGTTCAGATAAATGGTTGTGGTCTTCCGATGGGCCACCACGATCATGTGAGCTTGCTGGATTTTTGTCCCTATTAGCTGTCTGGATTGATAGTTTTCAAATGTTAAACATTTTGGTCAGCAAAGGGCTTAGTGGGATTAAAAATGGTCAAACTAAGCCCTCAAATGTTGCCTCACAGCTATGGAGCAAAATTATATGATTTGGTCTTTGTTATCTTGTCTCCATGCTGGAAGAAATGGGAATATATGCACTAGTTTTTACATTCTGTTGTAACTAGGTAGGGTTATTGTTGTCAAGTGCTTAAAATCAGAGAATGGTTTGAGTTGTCGATTGTTTTTGTGCTGAGATCAAAATGCATGTGATTAGATAATGCAGTACTCTGGCATGATATAGTGACTATTCATCATGGTTATGCTTCCGTTTCAATTGTGATTCAATGAATATGCTTCTTGGTAGTATTGGTAGGTGATTCTTTGTCTTCTTTGATAGGATTGAACAAGAAAAGAGTGATATTCTCTACATGATTTCTCACCAAATGTTAGTGATGTGCTTTGTGGTACTGATAAGAAGTGTGGCATGCTTGACCTATTCCCATGTGTTGGTGTTGCGTGCAGTGAATATAGGAATACGATGGCTTGATTGATTGTGACTTGCCACAGAGCTTATTTTAATAGATCATCATGGAAGAAGCTTGGTTTCAAGTTGGTATGGTCTACTAGGTGACATTTGATTTTATAGGCCTTTTTTCACCAAGGCATGGGCTTGTGTAGTGTTGTCTTGGTGTTGTGCAATGTGTAGTATTCCATTCTTAGATGGTGAGGGATGATGTTGTATTGCTGAATTGGTTCCAGAACATACATTCGAGAATTGTTTTTCATTTGGTTTCTTAAAAATTTATCATGATTTTCTTAAATCATATATGTCGTGGAGTAGCTTCAAATGCATGCGTCGTGCATAGTGCTTATCTACCCTGAACACATGATTACATTCTTTACAGCCATGGAACTTTGCTCACTTGTTTCCCCAAAGTTCTTCTTCTTCATTTGTGTTCTCCCCAATGCTGCAGAGGTGGCGTAGGTAAGATAAGGCACTCCCTTCCTCTCCTATGCTTCCTCTTCTGTTCTGTGTCTCCATGGCCATCGAGCCGTGGTAGGTTCTATGCTGGCCATGCAAATTTCTAGGTTTTGAGGCTATGGTGATGGTATGTTGTGATAACTAGTGCCACTATTTCTCTTCTGCTCTTTGTGTCCACATCCATCGTGTCGTGGTGAGCTCCGTGCTCGCCATCGTACCATGGAAAGCTCTAGTTTTTTGGGCTATGGTGATGGCCGCCCTTTGTGCGGATTTAGCCCCGGAGAATAAGTTTTTTAGTTTGACTTGTAGTTTATAGAATCGATGAATCCCCAATCCAGCACTATTTCTGGTTTGTCTACCGGGTTTTTTCATTATTTCCATGCAGACTATGTATGCGATGCACTTGAGACTTGACCTCTACCTTTTGAGTTTTGATAAGCTCGAATATTGTTATGCTATAATTTTGTGTTTTGTACATTCGAGAGAGATCTGACTAGGCTGTTATAGGTTGAGGGAACTTGATAAGCTCAAGGGACATGTGGAATTTGGTTTGTCAACTAGAAGGCGCTCGACATCGAGATGGTCTAGCAGTCCGTACACGGTGTGATGATCTGGGCTTCCATGGAATGCATCAGCTACAACTACTTGGGTGAGTACCTGATCTCACCTTCGTCCTCTGTTTTCTCTGGGTGCTAGCTTTCGATCTATGGCCATACCATGCTCTGTTCTGGCCATCGAGCCAAAGATCTAGTGGTTGTCGTAAGTCCTATGGTGCTATGATGTTTGTGTTTTCATGTCGAGGTTAAGTCATTTTCTACGTGTTAACGATGATGATGATTCTTGCAAATGATGTGTAAGGCACATTTACAGAGTTGGATGAAGAACTATCATAATGGAAGTTACTTGGTTGTTTCTAGTTGCTATTGTCTAGTACTCCCTCCGTCCGAAAATACTTGTCATCATAATGGATAAAAAGGGATGTATTTAGAACTGAAATACGTCTAGATACATCTTTTATTCATTTTGATGACAAGTATTTCCGGACAGAGGGAGTAGATGATAACTGATTTACTATGATTGCTTTAGCTATCTCTAGTGTTATGCATAAGTGTTGAGAGTGTAAAGTTTCATCATGTTCCTCTTTCCAGGTAATTTAGCTTATTCTCTAAGCTAGCCTAATCTCTTCTACAACCTCGGCAGTGGTGGCCACCTCTTCTTGGTTCAGGTGAGCCCTTTATGTCCTCTATTTCTCTCTTGCTTTGAGATGGTGCCCGGCCATCAAGCCGTTGATTTGGTGTTTAGATCTTTGGTGGTGGTCTTCTGGCGGGCCACCACAATCATGTGAGGTTGTTGGATTGATTATTTCGAAATGTTTAGAATTTTTGGGCAGCAGAGGGCTTAGTTGTATTCAAAATGTGAAAACTAAGCCCTCAGCTATGGATCAAAATTACTCCCATCGTTTCTAAATACAAGAGCTTTTAGAGATTGCAATACGGACTATAAGCGGATGTATATAGACACATTTTAGAGTGTAGATTCACTCATTTTGCTCCGTTGTAATCTGTATTATCATCTCTAAAAAGGCTTATGTTTAGGAACAGAGGGAGTATGATTTAGTCTTTGTTTGTTATCTTGTCGCCTTGCTGGACAAAATGCGGTGGTTTCAGTCCTCAAAAAACTAGCAGCAGTGTTCACATGAGCGGTACAATGAAGGGTGATGAAATAGGAGATCACTTCCATGTTTGTTGTATTAATTTACATTATTTGTCTTGGCTTGGAAGTTTCCATGTTATTGATTGTTAATCGTTTGTAGTATTTCTTCTTGACCTGCATAGCTGCAATAAACTATCATGAACCAAATGAATTTTATTGTTTTTAAGGAAGGTTTGGGAGAATGAAATAGTACTCCCTCTGTCCGGAATTACTTGTCATCAAAATGGATGTATCTAGAACTAAAATACATCTAGATACATCCATTTCAATGACAAGTATTTCTGGACGGAGGGAGTACCATTTTGGCATCCTGTGAGGCAAAATAGTCATAGAAACAATCAGTCCCGTGTAATCAACACATTTACCCTATCTCTATTGGGCATACACCGGCAATATCTGCCTAACTTAGTCCTTGATATGTACTCCCTCCGTTCGGAATTACTTGTCGTAGAAATGGATGTATCTAGATGTATTTTAGTTCTAGATACATCCATTTCCGAGACAAGTAATTTGGGACGGAGGGAGTATCTAGAAACTGGTTGCCCAAAGCTTTGGTGGATTCTAGGTATGAAACCCACTTTTCATATTGTGAGGCTTTGAGAAGTGGGCAGTCACTCTATTGCGAAGCTGTGCAGGTGCACGCTCGTGTCTCAAGACTCCACAGGGCACCCAAGTTGTTTTCCATATAAAAGAATGGCCTCCGACTGGATCCTTGGCCCTGTCTGTAGATGGATCGTTTTCACCACTAGACGGTTCAGCAGCGACAGGTATGATCTTACGCAATGAAGTTGGGGCTGTGGTTTTTGCGGCCTACCGAGTTATTTTTAATTGTAATGATGCACTGGAGGCAGAGATACACACTCTTATGCAAGGTATGGCCCTAGCCTGTCAGCATACGAAGCTCCCGGTATACGTGCAGTCTGATTCCTCGGAGGCCCTGTCCATCTTATCTAGTGATTCTCTTACGCGGTCGGCATATGGGCACTTGGCAATGGAAATCAAGTTTTTGTTGGAAGGTCGGGAGTTTATGCCCCAAAAGCTTACTAGGTCTCAGAATAGGATAGCACATTGTCTGGCTAATTACAGCCGTACTGAGTCGTGTACTGCTGTTTGGCTTCAAAGAGGTCCTCCCTGTATTGAGGGGCTCTTGCCAGTTGATTGTAATCCTGTTACCTAAGGAATAAAACTCCCTTTATCATTGCAAAAAAAAAAAGAATGGCCGCCAAGGGCTCGTTGTTGGTCTTTTTATAGCGAGTCACTGAATATAAGTTCCTGTGTTTTGTCATTAACTTTTCCTTGTGTTGTGTTCATTTGAGAGACCTGACCTGGTCTTTTGAATGAATATTACAGGAACCTGGAAGTTTTGGTTGGTTGTTACAGGGCGAGGGATCTTGATTGATATGCTCAAGGGCCACTTGGAGACGGTTTTGAAGCTGAGGTGCTACCTCTCATACCTGGGACTTGTGATTTGTTTCTTTGCTGGAGGTGTCACTGAAGTGTGGTTTTGAACTCATAAAGCATCTTTGTCTTGCTTGTCTTGTTAGAGAAACCTGACTCACTCGGTTCTTTCAGCTAGTAGCCCTTTTGGCAGTACTGTAGAGTGCCCTGTCTCTACGTATTTTGTCCTCTCTTTTTTCCGTATCGGTACGATACCTGCAGACGCAAGCTTAATTTTGGAAATCGATCGTCTTTTCTTGACTTGAGCCGTCTCTGCTTGAGGATTTTGCATAGGTGAATGCAGAAAAGGCTATCTGCTAGCTTAATTAGCTTGGTTTTGTTGCAGCCAGCCAATTACTATGTTGTATTGTTATATATATATATATATATATATATATATATATATATATATATACACGTGTTGTCCGTCCCACCACAGCTAGCTTTCTACTCCCTCCGTTCGGAATTACTTGTCGCAGAAATAAATGTATCTAGACAATTTATGTGAAGTATTTGTGCCGTGCATATATACGACACTAAAGAGGCATATTCTGGTTGATGTGATTCACTGCTGCTTTGCTGTGTGCTCCTTGTAAGTTGACACGTACACCAGGCTCATCTGTATGCATGCATGCATGTAATTTATTTTCTCAGGTTTGAGAAGGATGGATGGTGACAAGGCGGCGGCAGAGAGGGACACAGTAGTGAGTGGGTGATGAGCCAAGGCGGTTTTGCGAGAGTTGGATGGAAAGCAATCGGAGTTTTGCAGTTTGGTCTTGGCATGATGAAGATTGTGCACCTGCTCCTGTTGTATGATTCATTCATCTTGGACATGGTCTGTCCAAGATGGTTGTGCAATGCAGTAGTGTCATGTGAAATAGGATGCTGTGATGTTATCATTACATGTTGCTTCTTTCCGGAGAGCACCTTGAAAATCATTACATGACATGGATGCTCTTGTTTATGTTCCTGTTCCTGCTGGCTGGTGCTCACAAAAAACACAAATAATAAGTTGAGGGTACATTCATCTTGCAAAGTTTTTTTGAAGCCATTGAATATGCCATTTTATGTTGTTGTTCGAGTACGAGTATCGCCGCACGCTGAAGTGGGAGAAAAAAAATAATAGTAATTCAATTAACGGTGCTTGAATATATATTATAAATATCAAAATGACACCATCTAGGTAGGGGCTAGCCGAAATTCGCACCATCTTGGGGCCAAGTCAAAACAGAAACAGATGTTTGGATTTGGTGAGTACTTTGGGAGAGTAGATAATAAGTAGGTAGAGCAGAATCACAAGGTCCTTGTATAATTATTAGACAGATGAATTATTATTTATACAAACTCTAACAGAACAATTGATTCGTTAAATAAAGCACAATAAAATTGCTGGACTAGACTGGCTACAAAAAAATAGAGGAGAGAGACATCCTCAATGAATGAATGCTTGAAAGGATGCGCCGGGTGATTGAAATAAATGAGGGAGGAGCCCATGCCACCTTGGGCACTCCAAAGGACGCTTTAATTTCCTTCCTTGGGTACGTCAAAGGATTGATGCGGTGCCTTCCTACGCCCTTCTCTTTCTTACTCCCAAGCCCAAACCAACCTTCTTCCAAGACCATCTTCATCTCTTCTATATATACTAGAAGCAGAGACTGATCCGCGTGCGGGATGCGCGTGCGACTTGGACTTGGGACAACGGGCGAACGGCCCCAAGATTGCCGTCTCATTGCTCACCGTCTCCGTCTTCTTCTCTCACTCACCGTCGTCGCCGTCATCAATCAAGAGAAGACAAGAGGCTTGGATTGGTACCTGCAGGAAGACTCCATTCCTGTTGCCTACTCATTTTCCCTTTGATTGCCTTGGCCTTGGCTTGGCTGTACCTAATTTTAATTTTATTTTTTAAAAAAAAAAATAGAAGCCTGAGGATATCAGGTTGGGGAGAATATCATACGGAAACCAATATTCAATGAAAACTTCATGGAAACCATATTTTAAAGTTTCAAGAAAATCTGAAAAAAATGTGGGATGTTAAAAAGGTGATATTTTATTGCTGCACAAAATTTCAAGTTGAAAAACGTTACCAGATGTGAGCTATGAAAAAGACAAATTCAGCCCTGAATAGTGACATTACTATTCGGCACTATTCAACATTGATTTTGTCTTTTTCATAGCTCACATCTCGTAATGTGTTTTAACTTGAAATTTTGTGTGGCAATAAACATCATCCTCTTAACATCCAGCATTTTTTTCATTTTTTTTGAAACTTCGAAACATCTTTTTCTCGTGGTTTTCACTGGTTTCCATCGAATGTTGGTTTCCGTATGATATTCTCCCATCAGATTGAACGACAGGGGTGCGTGCGTGTTTCAGTCATGAGCCTGTCTTTGGTGGTGGGTATGGCCGAGCTGGCTGTCCTTGTGGGTTTCGTCTCGTATTTCACCTTCCAACACCACGGATGCTGCTGCGTGCGCCGTGACGGCGTCTCCGTATCCAGCTTCGCGCTGGGCATCTTCCTCGCCATCCTCTCATGGTGAGTCAGTTGAGCCCTTCATGTCATAAACACTACTCCCTTCGTAAAGAAAAGAAATATAATAGCGTTTAGATCATTACTTGAGGGAGTAACTACTAATTGCTTCTCTTCTCTTCTCTTATGGTGTGGGTGTATGCAGGTTATTGACGATTTGGGCGGTACGACTATATCTCGTCGATGTGGGGGCGATCTGGCCGGGGAGGCGTGGTAAACCCCCCCGAGTGTTACGCCTCTCTTAAGCTGGATCACCATCACCTTATGGCGAATGCATTCAAACCCTTCCTCTTTGCCATGGCCTTGGCAGTCTGCTCCTCCAAGAAACTTTCCCCTCCTCCTATAGAAACCTACTCCCTCCGTTCGGAATTACTTGTCGCAGAAATGGATGTATCATTCGATGGATCACCCATTATAGACGTTGGAGGTTCCTTTTTTCCTGGTTTGATTATTTTGTTAACTCACATTCACATATCATGATTAGAGTCGGATTTCTACAATGCATGTGGGAAGCTTCAAGCATATTTAATTTTTGATTTGAGGGATATTTTTTAACATCAACGCTAGTTAGGCTTTCAAAATTAGGGACCCTCTATGTGCATCTCCAATCCTCAGTGGACGCTAATGCGGGAGCTGGCCATCTAATCATAAGTAGGTATTTGTTCAAGCAAAAATAGTACCATAGCTCTGGTCATCCCACATAACATTTATCAAGGCAATAAACGTTAAATCCATGAATCATGGCGAAAGTAACTTGACGATGTTCCCGTGTGTCCTCCGTTGGTTCCCGCTCCGCCTCCAGCATGGCAGTGTCGTCCTCCACCATGGCAGATTCCTCCTTCTGCGGCTATGCGTGCTCCTCCTTCGGCTATGGTGAATCCGGAGGCAGGCCGACAGCGACCTTCGCATGGCGCCTAGCACGGATCTCCTCTAGCATATGCAACCGATGCTCCGATTCAGCATCGCATACATGGTGATCCTTTGCTGGGCCATGGCTAGCAGCTACGGCGAGCAGATGGAAGGTGGCGGCACAGAGGGGAGGGAGAGGGAAGGGATGGGGACGTCATAGAGACAGGCCATCGCTGTCAAGCTTAAATGGCCGGACTTGGTCCCTCAAGCGGCACGTCGGAGTGGTGCCATGAATGTGTCCGCGCCGAGGACCAGGGGAGGCGCTCGTTGGACCAATATTTTTGATGTGTGACCACGTGGGCCCTTGCGGTCAGTCATACGTGGCAGCCGTGCTCGGGCGCATTCGGGCACCCATATCCGCCCCAGATAGGAGTGCTGGTCAGTTCAAGCGTTTGGGCATGTTTTGCCGGGCAGCCTGCCCGGGCGTTTAGGGCAGATCCGGGGCCTCCGGCTGTAGATAACGTTGCATGCTAATCATTAATCGTAATTCCCCCCGGGAAAATAAGTAAGATAAAATAAAATCAACAAGAAGTTATAATTAAGGTGGCAACCACCTCATATATGAGAGAACAATCAATCTGAAGCGTCCCACTTTTATTGGATTTGCAAAAGGAGGAAAGAAAGGAATATTCATGTACCAAACCAAAGAGGTTGGTTGTAGCTACAGAAGGAAGAAGATGCGAGAAAGACATGGATGGATGGATGGATGGACAAGCAAAAATGTACTCCCTCCGTTCCTAAATATAAGTCTTTGTAGGGATTCCATTAGATGGACTACATACAGAGCAAAATGAATGAATCTAAACTTAAAATGCATCTATATACATCCGTATGTGCTTTATATTGAAATCTCCACAAAGACTTACATTTAGGAACGAAGGAAGTACTTAACCAACGGGGGCCTGCGTCCTCTAATGGCCAATTAGCACAACCCATCCCATGTCAGCTGCTCGTAAAGTCTCGAATCCATTTGTTGGGGCCGAGTTTGGGTTTTTGACCTTGGAATCTAGCCATAGCCTCTTCTTTTTTTTGCGAGGAAAATCTAGCCATAGCCAGCCAGGAGGAAAAGGGACAAGTGTGATATGCACATGTGTCCTCTGTTTGATACTATACTCCTCGGTAGGATTGTGACGTTATGTCGGCCTCACACACGTATCCTAATGGAGTGCAGAGATAACTGGAGATGGAATCACAAAATGAAGTAATACAAGAAATTGGTCCCAGAAATACACACACACACACACGCGAGCACCTGAGTTCTCCACCTCCTCCCTATAAAAAAATTAAATCGAGAAATTACAAGG